GGGGCGGTGGCTCAGCGCCCCTTCCTCTCGCTCCCTCCGCGTCCCTGGGCGCCCCCTCGCCCGCTTTCTCTCGCGGCCCCAGGTTCTCACCGCTTCTTTCCTAATTTTCTGGAAGGACCGACACCCCCGCTCGCCCCCACCGCGGCTCCCGGTTCCTTTCCCTGCAGAGCAATGGGGGCTGGAGGGGGGCCGACATGGGTGACATGGGTGGACCGGCAGGGCGGTCCCTGGGGTGCACTTTAACTTTTTTTGTGCCACGTTCCCCGGTCTCCGGCCAGTCCTGTCGCTCTAAGGCACCTCCAGCAGCGCTGACCCTGGTCCCCCACCTGCTGGTCCTGCGGCCGCGGGGCTCTCTCCTCCGTCCCACCCCCTCCTTCCACACCACCTCCTTTCCTGGGAGTGGAGAAGCCCCAGCCAGAACCCCTGCCTTCCCCAAGAGGCACGCTAAGGGGGACATTCTCCCCTTCCTCATTCCTCCTAAAGCCAACATCACACCTGGCTTTGGGGCCGCTAGAACCTCAGCCCGCGTCCCTCCCCTTCTACCTCCAGCCGTCCCTGCTCTGTGCCCAGTGATCTTGGGGTCACCACAACCCCATGGATGCCTTGAGACCTCACGTTTCCTGGCCTCTCAGTATCCTGGGACACTGATGGTCATGCCTTCCTTCTGGAAAGTTCTTTCCGAGGCTGTGGGTTCCAGGATGAGCACTCTCCTCCTCCCACTCTACTTCCTCCCCTTCTCCTTCCCCCTCCTCCCTTCTCCCTGGAGAGGTCTTCCTCCAAGTCCCAGTCTTCTTCCCCACCCAGAGCCCCTCCCGCTGACACTTGTCTTCAGTGCCTGTCCCTGTCCGGATGGTGCCTCCACCCCAATGAGAAGCCTCCCTCTGGCATCTCCACTCCATCTCCGGGTCCCGCTGCTCCTGTATTTCCCTGGATCTGTCCTGGCCACCCTCGTCCTGGGACATGCCCTGCCCATGGAGGGCCCCTTTCATAGAGCTGTCCTTGGTCTTGGGGGTCCTTTCTCCTTAATTCTGCTTCTGTTTTAGGGGGCTTAACCCCAGCCATTCCCCCTCCCAGGGGCCACTTCCCTCTGAAGCTTAGCCCAGCTCTGTGACCCCCACAGGCCTGCCCCCGCCTGGTCCTCACTCCCCTGCATAGCCACACTGTGGGGGCTCCGTGCTTCCCAGCCCATAGGAAGCCCTGTTCCCAGAGAGGCGCATTCTGTTGTGGTCCGAGCAGTGGCCAGAGGCAAAAGTCAGAAGGCAAAGGTCATAAAAGTCTATCTCTACCTGCCAGCATCTGCCCTTGCTGCCGCATGCTCTCCCCTCTCCACCCAAACCGTCCCTCAGCTCCTGCCCCCACCTCTCCAGAGGCACAGACAACAGGGTTCTGATCTTGGGTAATGGTACGTCGCCCACCAGCCTCAGTCTGAGACCTCTGTGAATGGGGGTGATGGGATGATGGGGACCACCTCCTGGTGGCCGCAGGGACTGGGGTGAGGGTGCTGCAGGCTCTGCCTAAGTCAAGTGGCGTGGGGCTGGGGAGACAGTGCCCCGGCCCTGGAGAGGAGTCCTCCCTGCCCTCCTGTGTCCAGCTGTGTTTCCTGGAGGACAGGTCCCTGCGGGGCCGAGGCCCAGCAGTGCCAGGTAAGCGCTGGGTGGCTGGAGTCTGGTACCCACAGGAAGAGAAGTAGAAGAATAAATTTGGAGTGTGTGAAGGGGGCAAAACTTGAAAGGTTTGGACTCAGTGTGGGGAAGGAGAGGGAACAGATAGGGTGCGGACCCTCCCCTGGGCTGGGTGAGCCTTATTTATATGACTGAATCTATGACAAGATTCTTTGCTTGACCAAACTGTAGTCTGGCTTCAGAACCTTCTCGCAGGCTCATCTGCATTCTGCCTTGTAAAATCCAGATTTAGCAAGAACTCTGCTAAGTCAGTTTGGCAAGAAGCCTCCATCCCCCATATCTGATGGGGTCCTCAGCCTCCACCACCCCCAGGCGACGTCTGCTCACCCTGGCTGCCTTCAGCAGGCTTCCTGTTACCTGGATAGGGTCCTCAGCCTCCGCCACCCCCAGACGATGTCTGCTCACCCTGGCTGCCTCCAGCAAGATTCCTGTTACCTGGGTAGGGTCCTCAGCCTCTGTCACCCCCAGAATCCTCCAGACAGGTGTTTCGTCCCAGTAATTTTCCACCCACTGACCCCACCCTGCTCCTGGGATTTAAATCCCACTCGCCCATGCCACATTCAGAGTTGAGCCCACGTCTATACTAAAATCTTTTCTCCCTTATTACAATAGTCCTGAACAAAATATGTTTTTCAACTGCTATCCAGTTCTGGTTTCCCTTACATTGGTGAGACATATAAACAGAGGGCAGCTGGGAATGGAGGGGGCGGGGCCTTCCCACGCAGCAGTGGGGCTGGGGGGACCTGCCCTCCATCCAATCCCTAGGGCCCTCCTCATTGCAGGGGGCCCTCTTGGAGGTGTGCTTGGTCCTGTGCTGCCGGGCGCACTGCAGCAGGACTGGGGGCTGGTCTGCACCCCCAATCCCTGAGATGTGGGTTTGTCTGTCTGTGCTGGGGATTCTGGAGACGGCACCTGCAGAGCTTAATTTTGGCGTTTGGCGAGACTTCTGGAGCCCATACTGCCTGCAAGGCTCGGAGCCTGCCAGCGAGACTCAGAAGCCCCACCCTGGAGTTCTGAAAGAGGCTGATGAGGAGGAGGGACGAAAGGGGCAGCCGGAAGCCAGGGCGGAGGGACCAGGGGTGGGAGGGGAGGCTGCATCTGGGTCCAGAAAACGTGGAAATGCAGGAAGGGAAACAGGAGCGTGGTGGGGCCGCCCCTCAGAGAGAAACTCTGTGAGCATTAAAGGGCATTTTTCCCCAGGTGTCTTCACTGTGCATTAATATATTTTTACTTTGATATGGTTTTGTAACCAGTGTTTCTCCCCACAACCTATAACACAAGGCACAAATCTTATGACAAAGTGAATGGACCTGCAGACTGCATCCTAGCACCTTTTGCCCTTAGAAGTGAATGCAAAGCAAGACCTCCAGGTATATGAGAGAGACCAATCACTTGGAAAAGAGGAAATTGGAGGAAACAGAGCTACTGCAGAGAACAGAAGAAAACTTCAAGAATATTTTAACCACTCTGGTTATCCTTAGAGATATGAAAGGATGATGACTCCATAAACACTGAACAGAATGCTTTGGAAAACAAGCAGAGGACAGGAGAAGCCCTTGCCAGCTACAAATAGAATATCTGGAATTTAAAAAATTTAGTAGAAGGATTGAAAAATTGAGTTGAAGAAATCTCTTGGAAGAAACAACAAAAAGGCTGGGCGCGGTGGCTCACACCTGTAATCCCAGCACTTTGGGAGGCTGAGGCGGGCTGATCACCTGAGGTCAGGAGTTCAAGACCAGCCTGACCAACATGGAGAAACTCCATCTCTACTAAAACTACAAAATTCACCAGGCGTAATGGTGCATGCCTGTAATCCCAGCTACTCGGGAAGCTGAGGCAGGAGAATTGCTTGAACCCAGGAGGCGGAGGTTGCAGTGAGCCAAGATCACACCATCGCACCATTGCCTGGGCAACAAGAATGAAACTCCGTCTTAAAAAAAAAAAAAAGAGAAACAAGAAAAATCCAAGAGGAATAAAAAATAACAGAGAGTGGAGGGTTCACTAGAAAGTTGAGACTGGGTGTGGTGGCTCACGCCTGTAATCCCAACAC